AACAGCTCTTCATTCTCCTTGTTTCTCGATTGCGTTATTCCAAATATGGGTGACATACGATAGAAGGTCACCTGTTGATCTTTGTTTCCTAAAGCCATATTGATGATCGCTCATTTTTTTCAGACTTACAAAATTTCTTTCAACCACCTGCTTCAGTGTAGATCCCAACGAAGAAAATGCAAATATCCCCCTTTCGAAATTAAAGCCAGCTTTAACGATACCCCTTACCAAAGGAGTTTCTTCTGATGATCTAAGTAATTTTACCCCAAGCTCAATTTCAGCACTCTCAAAATGTAGAGTATCAAAGAGTATCGCAATTTGAAAACCCTTTCGTCTAGTGGTCAGTTGCTGAGGATTTATTACACCTAAATTACCTCAAGGCTTCGATACGGCATCGGTCTAGGTGACAGGTCTTCTGGGTTGGCTGATGTTTTTATGGCACAAAAGAGAAAACCTCGCGTAATGTTTGGTTTACAGCCTGGAGAGTTCTGCACAAATTTCAATTCAATTCTTTCAATACACAAAATGGATATTTATGGTGATCGCATACATTGTCAGCTAGCATCTCAGCAGACTTCAAGCATAAGATTTGCTTGTGCTGTGATTATTCTGTTTCTCTGACAATTAAAAACATACTAAATTGATGGATGTAGTCTTTACTACGTGGTAGGAAATCATACTGAAGAAAAGACAAATGAAACGTATACAATAAACTCAGTTCATTGTGTTAGTTTGAAAATGTCCATATAGGACATATCCTACACATTTAATTGAGTCACTACTACGTGTTTACCATAAATCAAATAGTCTAGATGCGAGGAAGCAAATATATGACCAAATATATGACCCTCAAGTATTTTATTTCTTGTGTTCTGTTAAAGGTCAAGAGCATATTTCTATTCACATTCAACTTCATGTATACAGAGTGTATCTTCATTAGGCTGGTCGCTTTGTAGTATTAAAAATGTTTATAAGTTTTAGTTTAGCCATACTTGGATATTCTGCAATATCTCTTCATTATTTGTGAACACTTTGTCCCAAGAATTTCCAGTTGCAACTATAGCTGTGTCATTGACAAGAGAGAAAGCCTGAATGAATCTGAACAAAAATGAGACGACTGCAGTCCTTTTCCTTGACCTACGTAAGGCTTTTGTCTACGTCATGAAATTATGTCGAAGAAGCTAAACTACTATAAATACCACAGTATAGCTAATGATTCCAAAAGTATTCGACTTACAGGAATTTGGGAGAGGCAGTTTGAGCAATATGGAGAGGACGGGACGAGGCGTGCCCCAGGAATCAGTTCTGGGCCGAATCCCATTTTTACTGATTGATAAGTGTTCTGGTTGATCTTGATATATCTGATAAACTGAGACTATTTGCTGATATCACAACTTTTTTGGTACCATAAAAATTTGGAACTCACTCAGACTTGCATAAAATCAAATTATGGTGTGGTAGCAACATGTTATAGTTATTTTCATCCAAAACATGCAAGCTCATATTAAAGCCATTAAAGTCATCATTTATATCGTTAAATAAAATAATTGAACGGGCGATTCAACACTATTGTCTTTCTTATCGAAAAGTACTAAACATTATTCCTTTTTCAGATACATTTTGCCAAACCTTGATTATTCGTTACATCGAAAATTTAAGAAGGGGAGAGTGTTTACGATCGTGGGGAAGCGGGGGGCACGTTGTTACAAAAGCAATCAAATAATTTATACATTTGTTTGCTTCTGACCTTAGTATGCCTATTCAGCTATTAAAATATGATTGAAAGTTATTAAAATTTATGTAATTTTTTGACAATGGACAATTCAACAAAAAAAAATCGATTGTAACAACTTACCTCCAATTTGGTGCTTGTTGTTACATATTCGGGGCTTTTTGGGGTAACTTGTTACATGTAACAACCTACCCCAAAAAATTGTAACTACCTGCCCCCTGGCACATTTTTTAATATAAATTGAAGTCACTATTAAAGGATATCGATAGTAGAAAAAAATAATATTGCAAATTGAATGTAGAAATCGTCCAATAGTTTTATTGAACCCCACAGGACATATTTCGGTGTATCCTCTCCGAAACTCTGGTCTATCAGATATTTCCTCGTAGTCGTAGGGGGCTATGGCTGTGTGGCATGGTTAAGATGTTAGAATTGCAAGTTTCTAAATCCACAAAAAGGTATATATATTATGAACCTTCAAGGTTGAAAATTTTGGGAAAATCAAAAATTTCTTATAGAATTTTTTACTTACTTGGATTAAATCGAGTCACATGCACACAACCTAGCAACTTGGCGCTTGGCGGGTCACTAATCGTTTGTATGTGATGCCCGACGTTCTAAGAAAACACATGAGTCCAGACATGTCCACCAAAGAGTTTAAAATCCTGGTAAAAAAGGCATGTAACTTCTTACCCCTGTAACAACGTGCCCCTCGCTCCCCTATACCCTTCATTAATATTCGTCAAATGAGAGGTATTGATATATGATGGTCGATGCTTGAGGTATTGATTTCAATACTTCTATCTTAGGTATCATAGATAGTCAAAGATATGTTTGATACATCACCTCATATTTTAAAAATCAGTTGATGGATAATTGAAATGAAAATCAAACTCCTAGTCTACAGCAAGAAATGTATATGCAAATATCTCATTTGCATTCTTGATATGATATTGATATAAATAAATATAACAAGTTGTTGCAATTCATTTGTAGGTTTCTAATTAAGAATACCTGAGTCAATTAAGTCATCATTTTACTAGACGTCAACAATTAATGGGCTCATTAGTTTTCTTCGACCTGAATGTTAAATTATTTCAATCAATTTACAGAAGTGTCTTGGTCGATTATAAACATATCATCAAAAAAATAAACAACAGAGAAGAAAGTCGAATCAGCTATCTAGATTTATCATTTTGAGTTCATAAAAGTTAACAACAAATAGAGAATTGAATTTTCCTATAACTAAGAGCAAATGGTAACAAATTTCTTCAAATATAATTGTTTAAACTACCAAAAAAAAATTGTAATCATGCTTTCGAATCAAAACTGAATATCAAACTTTGGAATGCTCTGTATTAAAGAATGCCTCAAATATTTGAATGGAACTCACAGATTTATCTAAAATTATAGTCCAAAACAAATACTTTTTCCAATCTCCAGAAATGTAATACTCTTCTCGTTCTTGAGTTCCTTGTTTTCCTATGTTTTGTTTCTTCGACAATTGGATAATTTTTATAACGGCGACTTCTTTAGATATAACAACTCAACTAATGAAACTTCAAATGTAACCATCTCATTTCAAACTTAGCAGTGAAACATTTCGAAATAGGTCTTTATCGAAATTACAAAGAAAATTGTTTTGCACTAAAGTATATTGCTTGACTATCACAGTTGCTCGTTACTGAAAATTGTGGGTAATGTTTCATTAAAACGCTGATAATTGCTCTTGTAATTGAAGGAAAGCGGTTCGTGTATCATGTAAACAAAGTAGGAATATTGTGCATTGTAACGAGAGAAAAATTCTTCGTATCGAAGAAAGTTTTCCAGTTATATGGATGATTGTTTGAATAGTTTTAATACTTATATTTTAAACAAATATTATTTGAAGAATATTTCAACTGCATAGTCCCTGAAAAGAAATCAATGCCATGTCTGATATTTGCAGGCAAAGTAAAGGACGTACTTTTTCACAAATTATGCAGCTGCTATCAAAAAGCCACAATTTTTTATGAAAATGTTAAAAAACGAATTGAAAGTGTAAAATGTACGTGTTTTATAAATGAAAAGACTTGAGTTGAACATTTAATAAACAGACATTACTATTTGTTGGTATAATTAATAAAATAACTGGATTTATTTGAATGTATACATTTTCTGGATGAACGGAAACGATAAAAACTGATACTAGCAACGTTTTGAAATAATTTATGAAATTTTTTATATACTTATGTCCCTGTCTATGAATTCTAGATCAAATTTAAGTACTTGTACTATATACATTCCCGTTTCTTTTTTAGGGGAACTCGTTTCCCCGAAATTGAAAAGAAATGCGGGAAAATGTGATTTTGTTCAATTCAGTGTCTATGTAACAATATAAAACGAACAAGCTTTTTTCCGAAATAACCCAGTCTCTATTGAAAATACTCCTTTTTCCATTAATTTTGTACTATAAGGACAATATTGATAAGAAAAATCTTAATGTTGGGATATTACGTTTCAAGACGTCGTGAAATCTATTTGGCGTTTGGAAAACCATATTAAAAACACTGATAAACAATACTCTCAACGATAAAACAAAAATCATTACCATAAAGGAATGAATAATGACAATGTCAATGTTTACTTGTGCAACCTTTACTTTTGCATATAACCACATCTTCTATTATCAAAAAATCCAAATGAGAAGAAGCATTCCACGTAAATTTCAAATACATATGAGTGTATAGAATCATATAATATCATATTTCATTGCTCATATAATAAAAACACGAGTTGTTTACTTTTAAAACAAACGACTACCGGTAAAGTAAAACCACGTGACTTCATTCAAGTGTTATATCCCGAGTGTACCAAGTTCAAACAGATAAAATACGTCGATAAATTTCGAAATTTTGCCAAGCAAATGACTTGAGTATACACGAAATTTTGAAAATCATAGGGTCATAAATATGTATTTTGATCATTTGACATTGATGAACAAGGGATACATATTTATATTATCAACAGAAAAACGATAACATAAACTAAAGAACGAAATTTTTGGTTTTATGTAAAATATCTGAAAATAATTTGTTTTCAAAAATTCCAACTACCTTCAAAAACAGTAATGTTGAGCACCAACTCATATTCATTTCAATCAGTTAGGCAGTTCCTGAGCATTTAATTGTCGTAAAAGCAACCTAACCTTCAACTTATTCATCGTTTCTATACATTGAGGGAAAGAATCTTTGTCAAAACCTGCAATTGGAGAGCTTTCTCAACTCACCGCTTTAATCTTGAAGCTGTCGGTCTTCCGAAGTCCCCAACAGAGTCCTGCTTCCGGAAAAATAAAACAATCACTCAAAACACAAAAATAAACAAAACCAACACCGTCAGAACGAACTAAAACACGCGAGATGATAACTTATCAAAGTGCAACCTATCTCAACAAGTAAACCAGCATGACGTGTACGTGGATCGCAAATGTTTATGATCGGCAAACAGCTGAACTCACGTCTTTCTTCGGCAAGCTTTCGACTCGGAGTGGAGAGCGGACGGAGCTTTCGCGATGAGAGCTTTTGAGTGAGCTTTTCGGGCGCGCACGCCAATGCTTGGATCTGCCTCGGAGGTGGGGGTGACGTACGGCGAAATAGAAGAGGTGGTTACTGTCACATACAACGTGTCAAATATTTAGCAGGAATTAAAGTGGATTTTTCAAAGGGGTGGGGGTTGAGAAGGGGGTTTGAATTTTTTCAGTGGTTGAGATTGCAGTAATTGATTTGAAAAGGATTACTTAACAACATCTATTTCTCAGCAAGATTGTAAATTGAGTAATTAATTCTTTTTTTTCTACACCACAACTACAGCACACGATTTGATCTCCACAAACTTTATTTGAAAAATATATCACGACATGTTTCGCTATCACAGTAACTTTGTCAACATTGATTTGAATACTACAAGTTGCTTCTTACACTAATATTTATGTACTACAGGTAACCATAATTGAGACTACCTTCAAAAATTATCTGAACCTTTACCTGAAGTACCTCTTCAATTATGATCACCTGAAGCATATTACCTCACTTCTACATCAATAATAATTCGTTATCTGGTAGCTCTCACAACGATTTTAATTTCAAAAATACAAACTGCACAAATCAGAGAAGCTTCCGAAAATTCCACAAAAAAATCTAATTGTCATAATATTAAACATAAACAGCGGCAACGTTGCGGTGAGCGATCTGCCGCTGACGCCATCAAGCTAGAATCGGCTAGAACCGACCAGCCGGACCAGCGCGTTAGTGTTCGAGAACGATCTGTTCGTTAGTGTTCGAAATAATATTATGGCAAGCAGTTGTAAGAAGGTAAAGACATACCACTTTCATTCGGAATGGGAAGAACAATACTTCTCTACAGAAGTTAAAGATAAAAATGTGTGTTTGTTATGTAATACTTCGGTCTCCGTTGCTAAAAAAGGAAATATTGAGAGACATCATAAAACTGTACATTCTAATTNATACTGCAAATATTAAAAAAAATATCGATGAGTCTGAGTGTCAGCCTTCTCATTGAGCATGCTTTTTTATTTTTCAATGTTTATGTTCATGATAGTGCGTTACTTTTTTGTTGTTATTATTAACTATTTTTAAATCATACGTGACATGCCGTTGTGGCTGGATAAAAAAACTTAAATGACTTATAGGTACGCAAGAGACTCATTTTTAATTTCACAAATACTGCAACCAAAAATATTGAGTTATTAGAAAGCTTATTCGCATTACGACACATCAGATTGATTGTTGATTTCAACATTAAGTTAGTTTGTGCCCTTTTGCATAAAAAAAGTATTGATGTGCCTAGAAGATATTCTTGGAACAATAATATCAATTTCTGATAATAGTACAGGACAATCCAATTTGCCATTCAATAGCTTATATAGAAATAAAACAGATGCCTGATTTCTTTTTTTTTCTAAGGCTACAAAGTCAAATCTGCATAGCAGATCAGGGTTAGCACAGTTTCTTGGAGGATAAGTTCCGGTCATTCTGAAAGTAAGAAATTTTAAAAACTTCTTTTGGACTCTATCAATTGCTGATGTGTATTGCTTGTATATGGGATTCCATATAATGGACCCATATTCTAGTTTTGGCCTCACCAAACTGAAATACAGAGAGGTCAAGGTTAGCATATTATGAAAATTTTTGCTCTTCGTTATTATAAAACCGTATGCGCGGTAAGCTGAATTTATTATATGATTAATATGGTAGTTGAAAGTTAGTTGATGATCAAAATAGATCCCTAATATTCTCAGCTCTTTCCAATATAATGTTGTCAATGTGGTAAGAAAATTCTAGCGTATCGAGTTTTCCACTGAATGAATCAATTTTACATTTAGATATATTCAAATGGGGGCGATTCTTGAGACACCAATTGTGTGAAAGATCAATCTCCTTTTGCATAATGTTACAATCATATAAACTGTTTATAGATGTATACAGTTTCACATCATCAGCAAACATTAATTTATTGCAAATTATTGAGTTGCACAGATCATTAATAATAGTAAAAACAATAAGGGACCAATATTGGATCCTTGCGAGACTCCGCTGGTTGCTTAATACACATCTGAGGAAAAGCCGCGATAATATACGTATTGATTACGTCTGCTAAGATATGTTTCCAAAAGTTGTAACTTATAGCTGACCCTATCGAATGCTTTAGAGAAGTCCGTGTACACTACATCTTACTTGCCCTCTACAGTCTAACGATCCACATAAATATTGATAAAAAACAGCTAAATTACTGATGGTGGATCTAGAGTTTACAAAACCATGTTGGCGATCAGATATTATTTGTCGAGAGGATTGATAGATACGACTATACAGAATTGCTTCTAGAAGCTTGGCAAAGTTGTTTATGATTGAAATAGGTCTATAATTATTGATTTCCTATCGATCTTGAGCTTTATGTATTGGACAAACCTTGGCAGTTTTCCAAAGTTCAGGAAAAACTGACGTTCTCAAGATAAGATTAAAAAGAATTTTTAGGGGATAAACTAGTACTCTCAGATAGTCTTTCAATAGAATAATGAAATGATCAGACTAACTTCAAAACATGTTAATGATTCTTGCATTTTTGGAGACTGAATTCACTGAAGCATTCACCATATTGATCTGTCGATAACAACATCACAGTAATTTCCCTTTCAACCTCCTTTTATGGTTACGCCACTGTCTAAAAGAAAGGAACTGGTCCCGAAAATAAGTTTCTGCAAATAATTGAACGACTATTTTAAAATTGCAACTGCCCAGATAAAAGCAATTGATTCTATTATAAGGCCGGTGCCGTAGATTTAAATGGATTTTTATTTCCAATAGCTTTTATAGAATTGCTAACACTGGATTATATTCGGATTTGAAAAGAATTCGAATGAGGTTCGAACTAGGAAGAAATTGAAAAACAGATTTAGCACAACTCTCATTTAGATGAACGTGATCTCGAGAACTGATAGCAGAGTGAAATGCTGAATGGGGGTTGAAACAAAATTTACACTATTTGCTGTTTGGGCTGACCATGTTCGAGTTGATGGAATGAAGGCTTGACTTTTATAATTCATATGATAATCAATGGTCTGGTAATTACTGAAAAAATGAAAATCTATCGAAAGAACTCCTGAAACTTGAACGGTTTCAATTTATTATTCTGCAAAAGAACAATAAAACATGAAAAAATACATTCATATAACGGGTGGGCATTCCCTTTGTGATCTAAAGAAGATTTTGTTAAATTTGGGTATTATCTTTTAAATTTTGCGGGTTCACTGTTTATAAATTTCTCTTCCACATTATCATTTATTGTGTGATGTCCACAGTTTTTTCGATTTGCGATCTGAGGAATTTTTTTTTTGATGTGAAATAAACCATTCATTTAGGCATGCCTTGGTAATTATTTTCAACAAAATTCGTTGAATACGAAGCAGTCAACACAATTTTCATTGTAATTGAGTTACTTAAATATAAATTGAATAATTTGAATACCAACAACTTGACGTTATCAGATAAGTAATTCGTCAGTGATAAAGTTCATATACAGATTTCTCCACCTCATAATTTCTAATAGTATATTAGTTTTTCCAACCAGAAGTCTGATTGAAAAAACCAGACATCACCAGAAGATGGCAAATGAGACTTTGCCGAAACTCCATGTTCTGTGTATTTTATCCCCAATAAAATACACAGAACACGGAGCGAAGCCCGAGAAAACAGCTCATCATATTTTATCCGTGAGAATCTTCGAGTTTTTTTGAGTCGAAAATATAATTTGTCAACAACATATTCATCTCAGTCAGTAACAAATTCTCGTAATTAGATTAAAAAAAATCTGTTTTCTCAGTGTAATCACGATAGACGTGATAGGCATAATTCAGTTTTCTCCTCTTTATGCTGCTCCACTTTGTAATAGGTTCACACAAATATTCATCAAGAAAATGACAAATTAACAAAGTTGCAACTTTTAGTTGGAAAACTCTGAATGAATACATATAGTGCCGGACAGAATAGAGGACAGATATATTACCCGTATTTATTTTCATGTCAACTGGAAAACAAAACACCGATTTAAATATTTGGTGATCAATATTGGAGGATTTAAATAATTCGCATGAAAAATGGCTGATATTTCAACTGATATTTTAACATCATCGTTAGGTTATTCTCTATCGCTACTGAACTTTTTGTCTACAAACATTCAAAGGGAATGAAAAGGGCCAAACAATAGAAAAATGATAATTCACCTATAAACTATTGCAAAAATTCCACTCTTTCAACCAATAACTTTCATTTTTTAATTTGGAGTAAAAATCAAGTCGCATATTTGACAACCATTACAAATAAAGTTTCGTTTTTCTCTCTTCTTTTCCAGATCCGGTACTCAATAGGTTCGGAAGTCTTATTGACAGCAGCACAAAAAAAATGATGGAGCATATGTACAGCCATATTAATTATACATGTTTGCTTACGGTATTTCCTTTCAGCGATCTATATTTGCATAGGTACTCATTTCACGATTCATCATAGGATTAATTTTAATTCACAGTGGGAACTTTTTTGTTTACTTTACGAAGGGTGGGGTTGTATTCATGAACGGTTGGATAGATAATGAATGCCAACTACACAATGCGATATACCTTAAAACTACTCTTCGGTCAAAAAAATCAAAATTCTGATGTATTCTTACAGTCATCATTGATGATGATAATAAATAGCAAAAGTTGACCGTGCATTCATTTTCGAAACAGACAGAAAAAACTATAAAAAGTATACAAGATGGGACTGATACATCTGGCTCAGAATAAATCGAAAACAGGCACTAGTCCAAACAGCAGAACTGCTTGTTTTGAAAACATGAAATTCAGTCAAAATTAATGAAATATTTATTATGTTCTGAATATACCCATTTTAGCTTCCGACTTTTCCTTTAGAAATTTTTTTGATATTCATTAAACTTCCTCTTTCTTTTTGGCAGTTTG